ACGCTTTCCTTCAATCAGCAGCATGCCAACATCTCACCAAATGAAGGAATCGTTCTGCCTCTTCCCTATGCAGGCACTGAAAAGACACATGGTCATTTCCATGCAAAACTGCGCCGCACCTTCAGAGATGCCGTTTTCTGAGGCTATCTCATCATAAGGAAGTTGATGATACTCTGACAATGGTTTACAGGCTGGTTTGGCCCGGTTCCGTGAGGGCAGAGGGATCTGCAGATCCGCGCCTCCAGAAAAAAAGGAACAGGGGACCCCAAAATAATTAGAAACAGCGGCAATGATCTGAGGAGAAACAAACTAATTTACTAAATATATTATTGGAATGCAAGATAACACACTATAACGCAATATAATTAAAATTGAGGTTAATAAATCAAATATAATGAGAGAGAGAATGTCCAAAAGGTGGATAGGCCTCACCACAATTCTGAGGTGAGATGCGCAGTCCAGTCGAGCAGCAGGGAGAAAAAGGGAGGAGAGCCGACGAAGAGCAGGCGAAGAAGAGTGCATCAGGTGACCTTGCCAGGAGTTGTATCTCGAGACACTCTGTGACCGCAAAGTCCCCTGGGGAATGTAGTTCTTCCAGGCAGGTACCCAGAGCTTGAGCATTAACAGTTAAACTCCCAGTGCCCCACATGATGTTATGATGTGGAATGCCGAAAACCAAAAATCACAAAACCATTACATACTTGTCGTGTCCTGGAGAAATGAGAGGAGAGGAACATGAGCACCTGGAGAGCCACTGAGCAGGTCACGCTCAACAGTCAGCAGCTTCCAGGCCCTCAGGCAGTGCACTACTGTTGAGATTTTGAGGTGGAACCATTGGTACATCTCTGAGGAGACGCTGAGACATGGAGCCAATGAGACTGGAATGAAACCTGCCGCTGAAACTGGTGAAAGAGGGTGCTGTTATGCTGTATTCCATCTGTAATGGCAATCTGGCACATTCCCCACTAGAGTGCCAGGGCAGTCACCTCTGTCAGACTCCACTGTTCCTAGCTGCAACACTGCTGGAGTTGTACTGGAAGTGACGGTCCTGTGCAAGAGCCTTTGCCAGATGAAACACGAGTGTCTCAACGGCAACCAGATCCTTCTGCTGGCTGACTTACATGCTCTCTGACAACC